TAATAATATCATTAGATGTATAAAATTAATGAATTTAATGAACACAATTTTGAAATTACATTAATTTCAAAAAACAATTCTGGCCAATGTAACTTACCCTAATCATAATTCAATTTCTTCACTGATTGTGCAATCATTTCTTCGCATTTTATCTAATGTAACAGTAATGGTATTTAAACGTATCGACAAATCTTCAGCATCACGTTAATTCCAAGGTTTTGGACTTAGCCTGTATAACCTTGTCAATTACGAGCCAGTTTCCGTCTCAAACCTGTTAAAATAAGATTTGTAACGATTTTTAGCATTAAACACTTCATACTTATCATTCAATACTCATTGAGTACACGAATAGAGTTAACTAGCATTAGAGTAAACAGTCAATTTATATAATAAAATAATCTTGTTTTATGTTATCATTATTACTACAAGTTTATTATTACTATAAGAAATAACATTTCAACACATATGCATTATGTTACTCTGTTAACGGGAGTGACACTAATGTAAAACACTAGAAAGAAAAACGGAAACGTGGGAGAGGGCTCTATTGATCATACTACTCTCTTATTCCGTACTATGTTAAGTGGACTCGTCTTTAAAACTAAAATTCTGAAGTTCTAATTAATTTGAAGTAAAAATAAGAAATTCTCAAACGTGCGATTGTCTTTACATTTTTATAGAAAATCAATCTGTAAAATCTTATCATAGAATTCCATTTTTACAAGACTTGAACCCACGACTTCCAGTTGTATCGGTTTAACACTGTAAGAGCGTTACCAGTGCTCCACCAAGCCTGACAACAAAAATCTTTTGTTTTCGTACATAACTATATGGGATTTGCCATTTGTAAAATGAAGAATCTGATTTAGGCTACTTATAGTTAATATATTTGCCGAGGAGTGTGTATTGGGTTCGAAAATGAAATCATTCCTTATCTAAGCATTTGAAGTAATAAATTTCTTATAACGTACACAAATCTCAACGTATATTATTCCGTAACGGAAACATCGTCGTAACATTTCACACGTTTTTAAATATTATTTTGTTTCAATTAAAATAAACTTTAAGTTAAAAATTATTCATAGACTATATTTTAAGGGCTTCTCGGTGTAATAATACTCCTGTCGTCTGTCGCACGCTTTAATATTTCTTTGCTTTTAACATTTTTAAACGATTAATAAGTCAAAATTATTTTAAAATTTACTTCTAGTTGTTTTCGGTTAGTGTTTTCCTATTTATGAATATTACAGGAAATGACGCGTTATTCTGTAGTGTAAAAGATCTGCTTAGTCACCCGTTTGTCTCTGTGCCGTATGACAAAGCACGCGCAGCACGTATTGTCAATCTTTCTATCGAGGTCAAATAACGTCGCAGTCAAAAAGCGGTATGAAGATTATGGATAGGTTTAACTAAAGTTCTATGTTAAGTCCGACGCAAAATAGTCGATGTGGCAGAATGGTCGGATGAGACATAGAAGTAAATTCATCCGATCGTCTGTGGGGTTGCCTACTGAGGTGGAATTATCAACACATAACAACCGGGCATTTAGTCTCGAGTTTTTCGTGTTGTACTCGAACTGACGTCATTGAAGTCACTTCTGTTACTATAACACATATAATTGGTAGTCTGGAGTTAAACCCATCCAGTGAACTCGAAAGGCGACCGGAAATATAGCATACTCACTTGGTTACGTATATCATTAAGCACGATGGAATTATTTACAATGCATCTGGGTTTGCGACTATAATGGTTCGACCAATCAACTTAATTGTAACAACTTGTAAACAAATCAACGTGAATAGTTTCGATTAGTTTTGTCTTATAGCATTATAGTACGCAAAAACAAAATGGAAACCTGCAGTGTTTTATTTAAAAAAGAAATATTAGTAACATAGTGTCTATGCTCTTAGCAATTTATACATATAATTTACTATCTTTTTAATTTTATTTTTCAATGAGTTAGATACTTCTTTTTATTTTTTGGAGAAACTTGCTATATAGTTTTATCAATTATGAATTAAAATTATTTTATTAGTGCTGACTTGACATGAAAAGAAATGCAAAAGAGAAGGCATCAAGAATACAAAAGACAGTAGAGAAAAAACTGAAAATGGTAGACAATAAAACAAAATTATCTACTTCACAAGAAAGAATTCTTTTTGTAATGGCAGATACAGTGGTTTTAATGCAACAAACTTCTGTTGAATCTGAAGTTGAATCAGAAAGAATCAGAATTCAAACATATCGCAGACTGAGGTGAATGATAGTCTTTAAATTAAAAATGAATAAAGACAAATAAACGTCTTTTAAAAATGTTATGCTTCACTATTTTTCTCTACAGAAATTTCAAAAACTTAGTACAGTAGAGTCTCGAAAACTCGGCACTCGCTAACCCGGCACTCCGGATAACTCGCCCACACCCTGGCAGGGAAAAAAAACCCTTAGTTAATTAATTTTCATTATAGACAGCTTTATGCCTCATAAAGTATTTTTCTGAGGTCCGTCTTATCAGGTAAATTACTGTACACAGTGTATTCATTAATTTTCATTTTCATGTAGTAAAGGCTCTATGCCTTCATAAAGGACGTACTTTTCCTTTGTTTAAGGGTATTTGGGCAGTTTATTCTCTGTTATATTCTCAAGTAAACAATACATACAAGTACAGTACAGTATTTTCTGAGGAAACACTCGTACTTATTTTTTTTAACCCCATTCCCGATAACCCGGCATTTTCACAAACTCGGCCACCCTTCGGTCCACATTAGGCCGAGTTTTCGAGACTCTACTGTATTATTTACTAATGTCCATTCTATCAGTACGACTACTACTACCCCCGTTCATATTTTTAAAATGTAATCATAATTTATTATTATTATGGAAAGAATGTACAGCGCAGCCAGAAATTCAAAATAACACGGTGACAGGAATAAATTATATTTCTGATTCTAAAAAGGTGTTAGTACGCATCAAAGTAAATAATCTCGTATACAAAGAAATTATAAAACAAAATTTTTTATGGTTTTTAAAATGTTTACAATTTATCTAACAGACAGTAATGCGATTTCACTAACAGAAGATACAGGCTTATCAAAGGAAGTGAGCGAGAGTAAGTAAAGTTTTAAAATATATTCAAATTTACTTAAAAATAGATCTTTATAAATCTTCCTTAGAATAGTGATCCCTTGCTCAAAAATTGTCGCCGACACGGTAGTCGTTTAAGCGAACTTCTCTACTACATGAATTAGTGATTTTGCCCATAGAACAAAATAAGAAAATAAAACTACAGGAAGGTGACAGTACCTTCATTAGAATAGGCCAGTTTTTAACTTATGACTTTAAACACGAGAAATGATTCCTCAAGTACACAATGATGTGCTTAACCCGCTCGTTAACATCTTTAATATTGATATATTGAGTCAGTTAGTTTAAAATATGATCAGAGCCGTAAGTGACAATATCTAAATTTTCTATCATTGCTAATGTTTCTCTCATTTTTTTCATATTGCTTGCATTGTCACTTACCAGACATTTTACTTTACAGCGTTTTGATTGCATTTTTTACTGCTGCAGTTGCAATAATCTTTAAGTAGTTTGATGCGTGACTTTCTGCGCTTGTATCAACCGAGTCAAATCAAATAAACTGTTCCATTAGGATCAGTCACACACACACACAAATCACTGGTACATAATTGATATTATTCCACCAATCCATACAGATTGTAATATCCTTTAACGTATCAGCTGATTCATTCTCAATGGAATTGTATAGTGTCCAGCAAGGGTCCCCCAACTTTCTTTCTCTGTGGATAGTCATTTCCAGGTCGCAACATCTGACAAAATTTTATAAATTCGGGGTGTTCTTCATGAGTAAATACTGAATTAATGGCATATATAAATTCTCCGTTTTGGACGTAGAATTGCGTTTTTTGATTAGTTGAAATTTTTAGAATAAGCGAATCAATGCGTTGGAATTTCACTTTGCTTTGTGACGCAGTGCCATTACCACTAGTGGAGCCAGAACTGGTGGAGAAGTGCTTTTCTCTGGTCTCAGACTCAGGCACTTGACTCGTTGATTCCTGCCAATCTAAATACAAGTCATAAATATAGAAACAATAAATTAATTACTAATTACGAGTAAATTTTTATAATTACTACTATATGCAGATGTGTGAAAATTATTAGACTCGAGTATATTTTTATTCGTGTCTCTAAATATTTTGATCGCTGTTTTCTGGTTATCCTTATATTTTTTAGGCTTGCCTGGTTTAAAAGAGGATCCAATTAACAAAATTCATAACGCAATGCAGGGTCATATTAAACAAAATGGTTTTGGTTAACATGATTTTCCATTGTGTTGTGAATTTTGTACACGAGAGACAGACTTTTGGCCCACCCCTATCTGCAATGAAATTTCACGTTGATCGTTTTCAGTTTCCTTCAAAAATACTTCAATCCTTGCTATTTTCCGAAATTTGGAAGTTAAGAGGTTTTCCCATATTATCAGAACTGTTTTAATTGACAGAAATAGTAATAAAACACAATCTTTACCAATATTTTTAGCTTTATCATGGATTTGATCGAACACGTGACACGAACTGGAAATAACAATGATTTGCAAAAATTACAAAATATATATTACCTGATTTAAATAAACCTGCAATTTACTGCAAGAACCAGTGCAATATAAAATTATACACTTTAGGATAAGAACAAAAAGTAATACACTTATTGCTTGATACACACTTCTGTATGATCACAGTTCACAATGATTACGACGTAGCCTATCTGTTTTAATGTTTAGTTTCCTGTTGTCATTTTTTTTAATTATTTAATTCATTTTTTGTTATTTTCAACACCGGAATGCTCTGACACTTTATCCCGGACGATGCATTCATAGAATAATTTCGTTAGATATCAAATACTGTAATCGAAATATGCACTCTCAAGTATATTGTGACGAAATAACAGGTTTTAACACATTCAATTTCACTAAATTGAATGTGTTAAAACCTGACCTGTTAAAACCTAAATTCAATTTAGTGCATCGCGTAGATCAACGGATGTTCTGTCGATGACTGTACACTGAGAGTTTATTTAAGAGATTTTCGTACAATGTATAATTTTGAAGATTGAGTAAAAGCAACGTAAGTAAACTTTTTTTGTATTATTATATGTAAAAGTAAAATCTAGTCGACAAATCTTCTTAGTATTTTTTCCTATAATTTTAATAATTAGAATGTACTTCAAAAATGTTAATACTAATTACGAAGTAACTTCTTATGGTAGATTTTTATTGAAATGTTGCACTCTGCGCAGTTCCGCATCAGTGCAGAGTCTACAAGTGGGCAAAACCAGCGATCACTAGTTGTTAAGTTGGTAGCGGGTTAATGCCTCTGCAACTGTTTTCCGGAATTTTTCTTTCTCTAATATCTAAACAGGGCCAGTTTCCTCATAGAAAAACCTTTTGAGAGGCACCATTCAGAAGGACTGTCGAGGCGATCTGCTAAGAGGGCAGATTGTCCAAGTGTTACATTGGCTTATTTCATCAATTGCATTACGTACAAGAAATCACGAATCAATTGTGGAATTCCCTAAATTTACGACTCTAATACACCTATCGCTTGCTCACCGCCATGTAAGATAAAGAACTCTTATGGAGCTCCCTATACATGACTTAATATAATTTTAATGCATTAAATTTTATTTATTATACTAAACGAATAAAATAAAATACTGTACATTGTATTTATTTTTAAATTTTTCTAATTAAATGTTCGTTTAAAATTACTTATTTTTATATTTATCTATAAATTGTTATTTATTTCAAATTTTTATTTATATATTGATATAATATAATTTTATTTTTTATCTCAGAAAATTTGAAAATGCCACAAGGTATATGAAAAGGAACTATTGTGATGAAGGTACGCACATAAATTCATTTTTGGAAATCAATTGTGATTGGAGATAATTCTATTTTGGTGTGTTTCTAATATACAGTAGAGTCTCAATTACTCAAGATGATGTGAATGGAGGGGCACTTTATATAATCAAAATTGGAATATTTGGTATCTAATGATCATAAATACAATAATGTTATAAAAGCAATGTTTCGTGGTAATTTCAAAAAATGTTCTTTAATCCTTTTCAAAATTTGCATTGTTATGAGATGTTACCGAAGTAAATTCTTTTAAAACTTCAGATTTAAAGCCGTTTTTGAGTATCGCGCATTTTCTGACTAAGGCTCGTGAACCGAACATCGTTTTTATGTTGTTTTACACATTTTACTAAGTTCTGTATTCCTTCCGGTGCCTTACATTTTCTGCTAAATTCCGTACGCTTTCTGTTGTTCCGCATATTGGTGGCCGAGTAGATAAAACAATTGAGCGCTTGTGGCTGGTACCGGGTTCGCGCCTTTCCCTGGGTTGGCCGCGAGTTACTCGTTTTCTTCACGTGTTAAATTTAGTTAATCGAGAAGCTACTTTAATTTGTTTGTTTTATGAATTTATAAATTTCTTGTTTTTCAACGCAGAAAAAATACGAAGAATCAAACAGTAAATAAAATTAAAATATATAATAAATATATTAAGATATTTTAGTTATTTCATTACTTTTATGAAATTATTAGAACTTTATAATTAGCACTAAATATCAAATATCATATGAGAATACAAAATCGTTCTTCAATATATGTTTATTAATGCTTACTTTGTATGATTAAGTGAAAAAATGATTTATATTATTTAATTATTATTATTAAAATATATATCCTTTAGTGTTAAATTTTAATATTTATTTATTATTATTTTTTATTTCAGTATTATTTTTTATTTCAGATATGAGAAATTGCACATCATTTTGAGCATGTCAACTTCTTTAGCGTGTTGTTACATAATATGTATGGCATTATTTTATGGCTGTGTTCTTCTACTTGTTTCGGGTCTGTTTATGCTAACTAAAAAGATAATATTTGCTAATGAAGAGAAAAATTTCCCTCCCTTTGCTGATATATTGATTTTGTTCTTCTCTTCTGTAATTGTAGTCACCGTATTTATTGTCTTCATAAAAATCTCTGAACGGTGTAACAGCGTTTCCGATAGGAGAAATTCTCAAGGAACACTACATAATTCAGGCTCATCGTCGGAGCTCGTTGCTCTTGAATTTAATTTGCTTGAAAATAATAAACCCCCTCCGTACGAGGACCCACCCTCTTACGCTACAGTAGCTTTCGATGAGTTAAAACACGAGCAAGATGAAAAATGTGACAGACAAAATGTCGCTGGTGACTGTAGTAACTACATTTGATGTATTGCATTTAAATGGAATGATAATTATTATTATATATTATCAAACCTTTTTCTCAATATGTATAAGTTAATTAAAATTGGTTCATATTCAAAAGATTTTCATGTAAACCAACTTCGAGCATCGACATCTGAAGAAGTATTGCGTTCTCCAGCGCAATAACACGTTTTATTTCAGGAAATGTATTATTGATTTGTTTCGCATTATTCGGAAGTAATATGAATGCAATAAAAAATATGAAAAGTAAATTGCAATAAATGATAAGTTGTTTATGGATATCAACTTTTAAAATGTACAAGTATTTGTATCAAAATACCGTGTCGAAATCAAAAAGCTTTCTCTTTTGTTAAGAGTGTACTGAGAGTTTTATAACATTGAAAGAGTTAAGTTAATTGATTTGAAAAGCGTGAAATTAGCTTTAGATTCTCATCATTGCCAATAAACAACTTGTAATCGGTACAGGAATCTTTTAAGGATAAAGTCGAAATTTTTTTTGTAATTTTTGTTGCAGTAATAATACGAGTACTTGCAGAAATCTAACTTCAAAATGAGTATATTCAGCAGCTATACAGTACACATCTTCCAACGTTCCTTCTACTTATTAAAACGGTCTTATAGCTCATTTTGCATTGTTCTGTCTCATCAAACTTTATACTTTTTCTGTTTATTAATTATTAAACTAATCGAATTATTAATTATTAATTGTTCTGCTTATTTAATTCTGTGGCTCTTCATTAGAGTACGAAAAGTGGCATAAGAATATTTTCAAATTGTCCGTCAGATCATTTCATCGTGACAAATCCAATTCTTGCGAAATGAGTAGGCTAAAATATTAAATAGTGTCGTTTAAGATATTCTTAAGATTATAAATAATACTTTAGAGAAAAGGTAAAAAAAATAAATTTATACACGCAACATCACTGTCAAGTTATAAACGTTTTACAATGTTGCGTGCGGTACTTTTCCAGCCACATCAAATAAACTGTCTTCGAAGGCAAAAAATCTACTTAATAAAATATCCTCCATAAAATAAGTATACAATGGAATTCGTACTGTTTATTAAACAGTAAGTTGACCCGAACGCTCGCTATTGAAAATACTGTATTTCGAAACACACTTTTCTATATTAAATTTTGGATTCAATCAAAATAATAGTGAAATTTTCATGTAAATAAGTTTTTCACATCTGTTTTTTGCTCGCAAAATTAAAGTTCTTATTTTTTCAAAACAATTTAATTCACTGTTATATTGGAAGAGAATGAAATGTAGATACTTTCATAAAATTCCCGATTACTTGTCAACCTTTCGATTCCTCGTAAGGATATTAGCGTATTAATTTTTATGAATACTTGGAATATTACGTCTTGCCGACGTTTCATCGAAGATTTCGTTGTTGATGAATTGTAAAGTTTAAAAATACATGAAATTTTGTGAACGTTTTTAACTCTTCCCGTCTTTCGATTAAACTGTGGAATAAAGTATTTGAACATTCGAAAATTATTATGATTTTTAAAATTTTAATGCCATGAAATATGCACGAAATGTAAAGTCAAAAATGTGGTAAAAGTGATTTTCATTTTAAAAAAATTATAAATGTTAATTAATAACAGATGAAATCCTCATTAAGTCCCACCCCACTGGAGATATAACACATGGCCCCTGTATCTTCTCACTCTCTATATATTTATTTACCAAAATTTAATAGCATCAGTACCTGTAATATGAAAATCTCCCTACAAAATTTTAGAAATTTTCGACAAAAAAAAGAGTACGCATTAAGCTTCAAGTGAGTGAACAAAATCGTTTCTCACCCCCACATTAACCTGCATTACATGGAAACTACAAACTTTTGCATTCCTCGACGTTTCCAGCTCTTCTCACTCCAAAAATGTACACGTATTGGAGGAGTTATTTTTTACCAATAGCCATATTTTCCCTGAGTTATATATAACAGCCAGGGAAAGTAACTATTGAAAGTAAAAGTTCCAATTTTATTTACTATAGCATCTCTTCGGAATGTTGAGTCCGGATAATTGTTTTTCATCCTCAGTCATGAGTAAGGAATGAGAAATCTATATACTGTACCAGTACATAAATCAGGATGTTTGTTCGTTTGTCTGTTGGCTATGCACATCTAGGCCATTCGACCAATTGCTACGAAACTCGCCAGTTACGTTTACATATTTCCAACTTAGATAACGTCGTGCAGTACATTTCATTCTAAAATATCGATTGGATTTTTATATATCAATTACTTTTTATTTTCATACGATTCGCTGTCTTTACACGTAGCGCTATCTATTAACAAAAATTTAACAAAATAATAAACTAAATATAATAAAATAAAAAACGTTATAATTTTTAAAAATATATCATCGGTGATAGATCGAGAAGAAATTCGGTGATAACATCGTAATCACCGAATTTCTGCGACAATGGTATAGCGCGAAACAGACGTGCCATTACATCATTACTATAACAGGTAGCACATAGCACTTGCCTGCGTGGAATAAAACCACTGAACACTGTTAGTTAGTTAGTCATGGGTTGGGGAATGGCCAACGGAATGATCAGGTGGGGTCCAGTTTCCCATGAAAATCTTTCCGAGATGCATTCTCCTCGGCACATGGTTTACTTGTAACGAAACTAATTCTAACGAGTGATTATTTATTGTTTATTTTTTAAAATAAAATATGTATTCAGAGTAATATGTAATTAATTTTCTTCTATTTATAGAAAATGAATGTATGAAATTATTGAAAATATATGAAAACTGTGTACAGTTATACCCCGAACTTACGCGATAGGTGGGACCGAGCGGTAACCCCGTAAGTCGAATTCGCGTAAGTCGGGGTATAATTTCGCATATAAATACATACAAATAATTTTTAATTTAGGCCGGAGACTAAAGAAAACAATAATTTAGAAAAAAATGTTTAATAAAATCTTAGATAATACATATGTATAACAAATTAGGCCTATATTATTTTACAATTTTTCACATTTACTTGATTATTACGCCATAATTTTAACATTGTTTCCATCTCAGCGATAATACTGTGACGTTTAC